CCTGGCAAAACCCAGGCGTTTCTTACTACGGGTCCCTTTGTGAGGAACAAGGGAAAATCTGTGAAAACAAAAGCCTTGGTTAGTCCTTGCACTTAAAATTGTTTATGCTTTTGTGGTGTATTTGGTAATGCATACTTAGTAAATGACATACATTAAGTAATCAGTACATACTTAATAAACCTTACATACTACACTAACACCATAAGAACCAGTCAGAGCATCATACCCAGTGTACCCCTGACCCAGTCCACCTCTGTGTGGCAGCTCCGATCTCCCCAGGCAGAGTTAAAACCTTTCTCCATCACAAAAAAAAAATGGGGAGACATTGCGCATATTGTTTCCAGAAAGTGGTCACTCCCACGGACCATTACAGAACTGTAAACAACATTCCTCTTAACAGCCTGTTTCCTAAGAAAATATTTTACTTCGTGTCATTTAGGTCAAGATCAATCTTAACAAAATTTCTCAATTTCCCAATTTCCCTGACGTGGGACTGGCCTTTGAACCAGCACCAGAGCTGTTTCTGCAGCGGAGGTGCTCCAGGAGCCACACTACGGAGCGGCACTGCTTTGGGATGCTCTTCTAGCAAGAAGAAAGTCCAGAGTTCATCTTTCATCCCCACTGCACGAGGCAGGGCTCCTGTTCGCTGCTGGAGCAGCCCAGCCTGCGGTCGCACACACATGTGCGCCTCGCTTCTCCAGCCACCCCAGCAAGGGCCACACAGGGTGGAAGGCAGCAAACGGCTCTGTATTCATCCCCTAAACACCATGAACATGACCCAAGGCCCTCTGCTAGTGACCTACCTCTTGCACTTACCTGGCTTTTCTCTATTGCTGTCTGTTAGAGGTGAGAGTATAACCAGCAGTTAAACCAGTCTCTACAGCCCCAAGGAGATGGGTCAGAAAATCCACCATAACCACCAAGAGCAAGCATTTCAGAGCATTTCTGCAAAAAAAAGCATATTCATACTCTAACAGGAACGACAGCAGAGGCTTGGAGCCCTCCTGGCCCCACCAAGTCACCTCCTCATCTCCGGGCTGGATCCAGCTGAAGGGGGACAAACCCCACAGTCCTCAACAGCTCTGCTTTCCCAGGAGCAGAGAAAAGAACCAGTTGGGAGAAACACCCACAAACCACAGCTGCAGCTTTTTATGTGGCCAAATACATGCCATGGGCTGCAACTGAAATCAATTCGGGGCTGCAGAGCATGTGCTCAGGTGGGACATCACAGCCACTTCAGAGATGCCCGGGAAACTCTTATCTTTAACAAATGAGACACCACATTTACTAATGAGGTTAACTGCTGAAATGTAGTTTCCATGTGCGAGATTACATCAGTCAAAAGCTGCCCATTTATTAAGGAGGATATAAAAAACAAGATACGGTCTCCAAAGCCCCATAATCTCCTCGTACATCTAGCCTGCCCTTTCAGATAAGGTCTTGCTGTCTTCAGGGGAAAGACAGCCTAGGAAATGAAGTCCCTTCCCTGATTTTCGGAAACTTCTGTTTTCTCGAGCCTGGCAGGCTGGAGAGGCACAAGCTGCTGCACCGTATCCATGCCACGTTATGTACTCGCACCAGTAAAGGAGCCTTATCTGAGCATCGTAACTTCATGCTTATCTAGATGAAGGAGCAAAATCAGCTACTGCAAACAGTTGCAGCTCCCAGCTAGCGATGCCAGCAAAAAGACACGACGGTGACAGTAGCATACGGTAGCTCGCTAGTTCCTGTGTGCCACTTTAGGTCCACCTCCCCTGGGCACCGCAGTGTTTCAAGCTGCCGTGGTTTCCGCGGGGGTTTTGTGGCACCGCTACAGCCGGAGCCGGGGGGAATCCATCCTGCACCGGGGAGCGGGCAGCAAGCGCTGAGCAGCCCCCGCAGCCGCCCAGGTGCTGGCAATGCCACCGAGCCAACAGCAGGTTCAGAAAACCTCACGCTTGGGCAAGCTCAGCGTTGGTCTCACCGGCGCGCGGGCTTGGTGAGCGGGCTGTGGTGGCAGAGTGACTTACTCGGTTCATAGAAGGCGTTCGCCGCCTCTCTCAGGCCCGTCAACGCAGGCACGTGCCCACGGGAATCCCCGTTCCTCGGGGCAGAGCAGCCCTCGCCCCGGGGAGGATCCCCGCTTGCAGCTCGGGCACCAGCAGCACCTCGCACAGCTTTCACGGCAGCTTTGTTTTCGCATTTGTAGCATCATCAGATTCTTTTTTCAATAACATTTCTAAGTCAGCTATAACATGAACGTTGCTTTTCACACCCTGACTCCCACTGAAATACCTTTTTCATTAGTATCAGAATTCATGAATTGACTAATTACTTACATTATTTATTCACATTCATACTCCTGATCATTCCAAATTCAAACTGAGCCACTTTGGATTAATCCAACAGTTTGGCTTTCCACTTGCTGCCTTTTCCTCCAGCCTCCAGAGTTTCTTCAGAAATATTTTCTATTCTTATTCTTATTCTTATTCTTATTCTTATTCTTATTCTTATTCTTATTCTTATTCTTACTCTTACTCTTACTCTTACTTTTACTCTTACTTTTTCCTATTCCTATTCCTATTCCTATTCCTATTCCTATTCCTATTCCTATTCCTATTCCTATTCCTATTCCTACTCCTATACAGCATTGAGAAGGTCAGGACCTGTCGCTTACGTGTCCCCATTTTGTCCTTACATCGTCCTTTGGCTTCTTAACTCTGCATTCACCTGGAAAAAAAACCCAAACCATCTGAACAATAACAAAGCTGGGGCTGGAAGATGTGCCTACAGTTCGTGCTGGGACACCAAAGCAGCTTAGAGAGAAGAAAACACACTTGAGGGTTTTGTTACCTCAAGCAGAAAAGGAAAAAAATAAAGGAAAAGAACCACCCCCCTCCCCCTGCATTGCCAAGCCTGACGATTTTGGAGTATGTCACAAGAAGACAGAGTGGTCACACAGCGGCGAAGAATCGGTCTTTCTCCTTTGTGAGGTAGCCAAAGCCCTGCTGAAACACCACCTGGTGCTACTGAGATGTGCAACAAAAATACCCAATGATTCTTGGGAACTGGGAATTGTCCTCTGAGCATAAACCCCCAAAATTTGCCAAGGGAAAAAGAACAATCCTACAGTTCATACGAGGTTCTGGAACAGTGCTAGGATTTTGCAGCGGTCATTAAAAATCCCAAATGCAAGAGAGGAGGGAAAAGGAGAGAGAGAGAGACAAAATCTGTTGGCAGCTGTGCCGGCCAGGAACGGAAGGGAGACAGATGTGCTCTCGGTGACGAATGGCAGCAGCGCGGGGAGACCCGAGGGGGGAGGACGGACTGCGGCAGCGGCGGGCGGCTCCGTGGGCGATCCCTCTCGGGGTTGACGGGAACCGCTGCGGTACAGGATGGACCAACCGTCAGCTGAGGAAAAAGTGAAAAAGAAATTTTCCATTACCAATCTTGAGGTGCCACGGTGATTCCAGACCGGGTTGTCCACAGAGGTCTCCAGTGGTGGGCTCAAAGCTCAGCCAGGCTGGCGGGTACGGCCCAGGCACCAGCCGAAGGGGAGAGGAGGCTTTGTCCCAAAAATCAGTATGAGTTTGTGGGAGACCAAAAGAAATGAGCTGTAAAACGCCAAAAACACAGCAGAGCAAGAAAAGGGCTTAGTATTTTCATTTGTGTGACGTACAGGTTCAGCCCGAAGGCAACTGGTAGCGCCAGGCAGGTTCTCTGAGGAGCTCCCAGCGATGCGCTGGTGCAGAGTCCACACTCCTGCAAGGACACGATCCTCGGCGCTGCATGGTGAGAAAGCTCTACAGATCGGCATGGAGCCTGAAAAAACCCATTCCTGTTCGAGACAACAAACTGGGTAGAGTGAAGTGGGCAGCAACCAGCTTGCAGGTTAGCTCGAGCTAAGCCGCACAACCACCGCTGGCTTTTGACTTCCCCAATTCAAAGCACTGAGATATTGAGGTGCTTACACCTAAGTGCTGCGGCACCGGGCTCCGGGCCACCGGACCACATGGAGTGGAGGTGGCAGATCTGCTCCTGCCCGGCAGGACCGGGGCCGGACCGCCTGCCCCCGCTGCCCTCGCCATGCCCCGCAGGCAGAGAGCAAACCGGAGCACTTCTGCTGGAAAACGGCACCGTTCTTTATCAAAAAAGGAATGGAAAAAGGCTTTTTTTTCCAGCCTCCAGGAAAGAGGGAAAGACGAGTCGCCGAGTTGGCGAATTTGGCCAGATAACAAGGCGTAACACCTGCGGTGAATTAAGACCTTAGACACGACACTCACAGAGCCGGTGGTCTTCCCCCTTGCCAGCCGCCGGCTGGCAGCGAGGGCACCGCCGTCCCAGCGCAAAACCAACTCCCCGGTCCCGACTGAGATGCTCAGGGCATCCTGCATCCCTCCGCCATCACCTAAAAGGAGCCAGTTGCCCGTCCCATCCCCGGGGACACCCTCCCGCTCCCACACGTGCTCCAGGGCAGTGGCTTCTCCTGCTCGGAATCAGTTAATTCTTACGGAATACCTGCATTTTGACAAACTTTTGCCATGAGTATTGCATAAACGCTGTCATTTTTGCTTTCTAGGAAGTGGTCCACATATTTTCTGTGGGGTTTTGGTGTTTTTTGTTTCTTACACCACAGCCTTTTTCCCATCACCTATCAGAAGATTGCACGCTGTTATCAGAGGAGCTCCGACTTCTAAAGAAGTGCCCTGGAGTCAGCATCTGCTTGGTCATGCTTTTGATCAGTCTATTTTTTACTGATTCTAAAATTGAAATGCCACATCCTTATATCTTTATCACCTAGTTCTGTGGAAACGCTGATTGGGTAAGGAGTGTGCCCCAAGGTTAAACACCAAATTTACTGGAACCTCACTCTTCCAGAAAGTCTCAACAAACGGGCTTTTTTTTTTTTTTTCTATCAGTTTCAAAAATCGACCCAAAATGTTATTTCCTTGTAGAGAGACCATAAAATGGCAGAGGACGGGTCCAGAAGCACTTACAGGTTCTCTGAGCACATCAGGAGGATGAAGACCCATCTCTACCTTCTTTTGCTGGCTGCGGGCATCTCTGCCGCTCCCCACACGAGCAGCATGGCTGAGCTACTGAAATTATTAGAGCAAATGTGTGAGTCAGTGACGAAGGACCTGCAGGTAAGTTCCATTTCCACCTTACTAACCTAAAATTTGATAAATTGGATCCTCTTGTTCTTCAATATTTAACTTTTTTTGAAGGTCAAACAATCTATTTATGTGACATTTTCGTTTTATTAGTGTTAATGAAGATGGTACTTGAAAGGCTTAATTAATACATTATTTTTCAGAATCTGAGGATTGAAACTCCGGACAACATAGATGTAAGTAAAACTCTTTTTTAAAAAAAAAAAAAAACTTTTTCATAAATGTAGTCATTGGAAGTTGAGATAGTTTTAAAATTGTTCTCTCCTAAAATACTCCGTTTGTATTTAAGAACAAATCAGGGCTTTAAATGTAGCTATTATAAGACAGAAAATGTTGTTAAAGATATTAAATGTTGTTGTAAGATATAAAATGTTATTAAAAGCAATCAAATCTCTATGAAAATCTCTATCAAATTTCTATGAAATGTTGAGTTAAAAAAATATGCTGTGATACAAACATAGCCAAGGACAGCAATTATTCTTGTTCTATGTTTGTGTAAATCTCCTGCAGAACACACACACAGAGAGGGATTTTCTGAATCAGCTTTTTAAATGAAGGACAGTTAGAAAGGGAAGAACAAACTCATTCACCTTTCTTGCTTGTCCATCTGCAAAAATACTTTTTTTTAGTCTACTTGGCTTAGTCTGATTTTAGAAATGGCTTTTTATACCTTTACCATCAGTACGGGGATTAAATGGTCACACTACCCCATCTTGGGGGTTGGAACCAGACGATCTTTAAGGTCCCTTCCAGCCAAAACCATTCTGTGAGTCTGTGATTCTATGATTCCCTGGAAATTAGGCGTAAAGTCTCCCAACTGTGTCACTTCTCTCTGGATCCCGCCTGGCAGAGCTCTCTTCCCGGGCTGGGGCTTGGCCTGCCTTGAACCCTGAGGTTTTCATAAGGAAAAGAGACCCCGAACCAGCGGTGCCGAGCGCCGGCAGCTCGCTCGTCCCTTTCCCTGCCGAGGTCCCCCGGCAGTGCCACCGCAGCCCACCGCGCCGGTGCCCGGGGAGAGGAGCTGCTTCGCTCTCACCTGTGGTTCGGATGGGGAGATGACGGAGAACTTCGCAGTGTTTCTGCGTTCGGTGTTCGTCAGTGGCAGAAGCGAGCAGCTTCCCAAGAAAGGTCGTGGGAAAAACGATCTTCCTTGTCATACAGCATCCAGGAGTCACCAACAGGAGACCACACGTTCATCGAGAATGTCGTGGGCATGATGCTGCCCTTTGGCCGCTGTCTGCTTTTCCTCCGACCTTCGCTGATTAGTTTTTGCTCCATGTTTCATCGCTTTCTTCTCCCATTACACTTCAATCTCTTCCTGCCGCTGATGCTCGTGTCCTCTCCTTCTCGCCTTCTCCATCGGTTTAGCTGGTCTTTTCCAAACCAGCCCGAAGCTGGTGAGTGCCACCACCGTCACTCTTTGCTCTGCTTCCGTCCCGTAGCCCCTCTCGCCTTCTGACCGCCCAGACCATAAGGTCTCGGAGACAAAACGCAGCTACTGCTGCTTTGTAGAAGAGGACCGTCCTTCCCAGCGCATGGCCGCCTTTGGGATGGGACATGGCAGACCGGGCTGTGAGATGGGACCGTGACCGCTGTCGCCGTCTCGTGCCGATGTCAGCTGCCACAGAGATTAATATTTGGCGTAGTGGCAGGTTCATCTATTTTCTTTCTCTCGTGTTCAGACAGCTCTAGTTTCTGGGGCAGAAAGCAGCTCGCATCCAGACTGAGGGTGTAAACCAGAATTTTCTGCCGACAGGAGCAGATGTAAGAAATCAAAGCGGTCTTCACATGGCTGTAGAAGAGATAGGGCAAAGCTTTTAGATAATTATACGGTTCATCTGGATGTTACCAAACATACGCTAGCAGAAGCTATCATCTGCCAGGTTTCTGTCTGCGGAGTAAACAAATGTGCACATCAGTGAAGCACGCTTGCCTAAATCGTTTGCAAATATGAGCCCAAAAATCAGTAACGATTTATTGCTACCCAGGCAGCTGGTCATAACTCAAGCCGCTTTTAATAAATTTATTGTAGTTCATGATTACAAGTTCTTGTGTCTCAGTTTTGCTGTTTCTTCCATCTTAGGATGTGAATTGTGTCAGCACGATCTTTGAAGGAACAGAACAGCTGAAAACTAACCCCGCTACAAAAAAATTCAGTGTTTTTTTCCAAAAATTTGAGAGACTGAAGCAATCTCTTACACCAAACCTGGCAACAGAGGTAGGAATTTATTTCTTGTCTATGAGAGATCGTGCAGCAGAGATGTAATAAAATTTCGCATTTCTGCCCTTCCCTTGCTCTAGCCTTCAGCTTGGCTCACCTCTAAAATAAGGATTCATATGTGTGATCAGCATATTTAAGGCTTAAGGAAAATCATATAATTTACAAAATGATTTCAAGGTGAAAAAGTTCTATACAATGGTTAGATATTAAGGAATTTCATTTTCTCGTTTAACTTTTCAGGGGAAATGTGATACAGAAAGAAGGAATGCAAGAATATTCATACAGAAGCTGATGACATTCATCCGAAAAGCATCAAAAAACGCAAGAGCGTAGTTACAAGTTTCTAGAATGGCTGTAAATTTAAACAAGCAGTACAATGTTTATCTGTTTTAAAAATACTCTGTCTTTGCGTTAGAATGCAGCAGGGCGTATCTTCAGTTTCAGTGGTCCTGTCCCAGTTCGTGTTTGGCATGTAATCTCCGAGAGCCTCGAGGGCGAAATGTTATTCGTATTTCGAGATGAAAATTTAAACACTTGACAAAGCAAATAGTGGAGGGGACTCTGGAAGGACCTGACTAGGCATAAAACTTTTTGGGGTTTCTCGTCAAAAGGTGGAGTTATCTTCTGCACAGTCAGAGCGAGACGGCACAGAGAGAGATGGCAGCACAAGCGGCTGCTTCGCACTCCGCGCCTTATCTCCCCCTCGCCTGGCCCGCGGGTTTCGCAGGCTCTGCCAGAAACCCCGACTGACACATGGAGATGCGATATGAATATATTTCCTTTGCTTTTCTTGAAGACCAGGGTTAAGCAGTGTCGGGGGGGGAGGGAATGGCACGTGCTCTAACAATATGGGTTGGGGATCTTAGAGCTTTTCAGGTTTAAAGTCAAATTTCTGCCGGAAAGTTTTGCTGGTATTGCCTAACCTCAGCGGAATGGGTATTATTCTTGATAACGTGTCTGGAAGAGCAAGAACCAGTACACAAGTGATGCTGCTGAAATAGGGCGTTTAGCTCAGGGAACTGGTACGGCTATACTGGGAAAATTTCAGCGTTGTAATACCCATCTACAGTAAAGAGGATTAATCAATACAATTATACGAGCAAAACTTTTCTAGTACTGAGCTGGCTTTGCCTCTGCTTTGAAGCCAGGTGAGGATGAACTGCAAAAGTCGCATTCACACAATATTCCACCTCCTAAACTCTGCCTGAACTTCTCTATACATACGTCTTTCACTTCCCAGCACGGAGAACATTGCACTCACACGCATAGGATCACCTTGATTTAGTATGCTTAGCACTCTGTCCAGAATCTCTCATGACCACTGGGAAACACATCCTGAGTTTTCCCTCTACCTGCAGCTTCGGTAGATCACTGTAAATTTGGCAAGTGAAGATTTGTAAGGAACTGGGCATATGCCACTCAGAGAATGAATGGTTTTTGTAAAGCTAATGGTGATGATAGGAGTGTTTAGATCAGTATGAATTTATTTCTGTGGTGTCAATTAAATTATATGACATTTTATACACATATGTATTTTGGAGAAAATATTTATTCTGTATTTTTACTACTTTTAATAAAGTGAATAAATATTTGTCTCTGCCTTTTTTTTTTTTTTTATCACCACAAATTTCTTCCCAGCTACTTCTACTCTTGAGCAAGTCTAGTTATTGTAAAACCTCTGATGGTGGAGGGAATTAGATCCTGGAGGTGAACGAGCTAGTGTCCTGCTAGAAGCTATTTCTAATGATGTGCAAATTCAAACCCAGGGAGACCATTTAAGGTCCTCTCTGGGAGGGAGCTGAGCTGGCACCTTCGGTTTAACAGAGCTGTTGAACCCACTCCAGGGGGGTGGCAATGTCTGAGGTTCGAAGCTGAACAGTTTTTCAGTGCTTGTGCTCAGACGCAGAGACGTGCCAGCATCTGGACAGAAGTCCCACGGAGGGAACGCCTGACGTAGCCCGGGCAGCTCCAAGCAATGGGGATAAATATGCTGCAAACAGAGGAAAAAACAGCTGGGGAGGTTCCTAGTGTAAAATAAATATCTCTTAAATAAATAAGCAAGCACCTCCTCAGACTTGCAACAGAAATTACAGCCCTTGCCATTCACAAATAAACCTTTGCAAAGAAAGTACCTTTGGTGGAAAATGCTTTCCCCCTCCTCCTGGAAGCTGGAGGCTGCCACCACGAGAGCATCCCCCGAGCTCTGATCCACACCTCTGGAGTCTCCGGCTGAGCAGAACCCCTCCAACACCAAAACGCCACAGCCGACCTCGTAACCCCCAGGTGACAGCTTTGCACGCTGCAGTCTGCCTATTCAAAATACTAGAAATAGGATGCTGTAATGAGGAACACGTAATAAAGCAGGGGGTGCAGAAGCTGGGTGCTGGACGTGGATTCCTCCTGTGCTAATTGTACATCACCCAGAGGGAGCACAGCCCTCCCCAGGACCCTACGGAGGGACTGAGGTACCCAGGTACAATCAGCACTCCGAGCAGGCGGGGGAAATGAATACCAATTAGAAATGATTGGGGGGGAGGGGAGGGGGGTGGGGAGAGAGAACAGGAAGAGATTTTTTCAGCATTTCAGTCTGAATTCATAGAACAATAGAACCACAGAATGGTTTAGGTTGGAAGGGACTGTCACGGTCCACTCTTCGGTGGACACGTGCTGGTGCGTTTCAGCTGTGATCCCAAAATGCAAAAAGAAATGGCATCAGGCCCGGGGGGTTATGCTTTCAACGCACAATTACTTTATTGGTTCTGCCCATAAAGCAGCTTTGTGATAGAAAGAAGGAAGAATAGGAAAGATGAGGTAAAAAAGGGGGAAAGAGGATTATAGCTACCACCACGGGTCCACAGGTGGTCCCAAATCCAGAAGGCGTTCCACTGCTTCTTCTTTGACCACCGTGGTCTCTCAGTGGGGAAGATTGTCAAAATTCAGTTCCCGAGGAACCATCTTTCAAGCTAGGTAGCACACCTTGCTCCTCCTTGACCCGCCTCCACTCCACCTCTGTCCCGTGGAAAGGTGCCAATCTCCGCCTGTCTGGAGTAAAGCTTCCATGCATACCCGGAGAGGAGTGTCTGAGGTGTGGGCAGCTTTGGAGGCAGGTACCTTCTTACCAGGAGGTGTGTTTTTATATTATAATGACATTATAATGAGGAAAGTTCAACTGAGGTTCGAGATTACTTCATCAGTGCTGGCAGAGCCAGTGCGATCCATCTTCTTCAGCAGCAGTTCTTCGCTTTGCTGCCCCAGTAAAATAGGCTTGTACCAGGTAACGACACTGTTCGTACCTTTGTACCACGGTATTGACACTGTCCGTACCTCAGTCCTTTCTCCAAGGTTTGCACGTCTCACAGCAGCCAGCTCAGCGAGCCACTGCAAACTCATGTCAAGACATTGGTCCAGGTTTTGGGGTCTAGTCGCTGATGACAATGTTGAGACAATGCCAGTCTTCTGATTGACTCTTACAGGGACCTTGAAGACCATCCAGTGCCACCCCCTGCCCTGGGCAGGGACACCTCCCACCAGCCCAGGTTGCTCCAAGCCCCCCCCAACTCTCCCAGCCTCTCCTCCCAGCAGAGGGGCTCCAGCCCTCCCAGCATCTCCGTGCCCTCCTCTGGCCCCGCTCCAACAGCTCCGTGTCCTTCTGCTGGTGGGACCCCCCGAGCTGGAGGCAGCGACAAAGACAAATTACCTAAACATTTTACATGAGTGTAAAGCGACAGATCCCATTCAAAGCCTCAGCATCTTTCCTTGCAGGCTCAGCCCCACTCCCCAGCACACTGACTCCCACCAGACCCGAGAGGACCCTCCATCAGCATCTTACCTCCTCCTGTGTCCTACTCCTGGGTTTGCCCCTTCGCCCCCTCTCTGGGACAGGCACCAGGGGGTTGGGACAGGCAGGGGGGATCCCGAGCAGGCAGGGGGGGGCCCGAGCAGGCAGGCGGCACCACGGGCTCGCTGTGCCCCCCAGCGTTACGGCTGGGCTGCCTGTGGTACATGAATCTGTATTTATTTCTTTCGGTTTGGGCTGTCCTCAGCCCGGGGCATGAGCTCCCACTGCCGGGTGTCCCTGGGGAGGCTGAAAAAAAACTTGCTTTTTATTTTTTTTAACTTCCCCCCCCATATTATTCCTTACTCTCTTTTAGCTTGCACGATGCCGATTCTGCTTTTTATCTGCCTGGAGGCCGCTTGGAGCCTGTTTCAGCCTTCTGAAGACACTTTCTAGCCTTGGATGCTCTCCCCTGCCCTGCTATGTAGTTTTTCTGGATTTCTTTCGCATCTTCTCAAGATATTTTGATAGATATGCATTTGTATACTGACTTCAAAATATATGTCGTTAAACAGCTTCCTGACCACCTGCAAAAATTTGGGCACAAACAGATGAAAGAAATGTTTCTGATACTTGCGTTATAGGTACCGGCTCCTAGAAAGCACAGTAGATGAGAGAATCTTAATCATCAGAACGGGCTTTACGGAAAACCTGAAATCAGGGGGAGTCTTGGGTACGTTGATCCTCCTTCAGCTCTGCTGACAGGACAAAGCCACTCCAAAATTTCCAACCAAAGCAGCTCTCTGGAGGAACACACCTGCAGGCTTGTGGCTCGGAGGGTGGGACTGTCCTTAATCGCTGCCCTAAAATCCCCCTTAGCTGCCAGCTCAGATTAGGAGAACCGGCAATTTCAGCCCCGCAAGAGCAGCTACAAACCTGGTTAACAGCCACTACAGTCGTGGACGACGCATCTCATCCCGAAAAAACCTTTGTGTCAGGTGCCTCAAATAAACTTGCCTCTTGTGTTCGCTTCTGCTTCTCAATCAGAATAAAACCAGACTGTATGACATAATAAAGAAAAAACCAAACCAACCTCTTTCTGTGAACCTGAAATCTTGTTTTCATTTTCAGCACAGGCTCCCTAATTTTCACAAGCTATTTCTGAGCTCGGGGCAGTGAAAACGGGCAGGTACTCAGCGGGGCAATCCTGTCCGCTGCCGCAGGTTGGTCTGCAAAACAGCCCGCAACAGGGTGATGTGGCGCATGGCCCGACTCGAGCAGAGCAGAGAGAAGGCAGGACACTGCTAATACCGTTTCTCCGCAGCGCTGATGCCAGCTATATTTAAAATTACGATATCACCCTGGTATCATCTACCTTCATCCCAAATTTCACTCATCCCCGCTGGAACGGCTCAGGTTGCAGCTGGAGAAGACAAAAGCAGAGCTCTAGAGAAAGGTTTGGGCTGCCTTATCAATGGGTTTCCTTTAGCTCCCCGGGTGATGCTTGCGTTTTTTGCTATAAATATCCCAGTGTAAATTAATTTCTTTTTTAAAAAAA